GGTCCACCGAGAGCTGTAACACCACTAGAATCGAACTTGTAATAAGGTGCATCTCGCCCACTCGCCAGAAGTCGATTGCTCCTTAGGGATAACAACCCTGCCTCGCGTTTTTCCACGGTTGTTCCTTCTATAACATTTCGATATTGTTCGTTTGTGAATCGACTGTACGTGAAACGTGGAAACCTCGGAGAAATTACGGCGATGCTTCGAATTTCATTACTTCGCATTATTGATTCAATGGGGGGATTTTAACCGAATGAAACTGTTTCACGGGAGAAGTCATAGGAGGTACAGGTTATAAAATATTAAAACTTGCATTAACGCTACTCGTGCAATTTGTTTATTTGTAATTATTTAGAAAATATGAATAAGAATATGTTTAATAATAGTAATTATTTGAATATGTTTCATTGTACGAGTTTCATTGTGAGAATACATTTAATGGTTATTACTTAGAAAATATTAATTAAGAATATACGCTTCCTGTTGTAATCACTGTATTGGAAATAATCACGTCGCGACAATACTGGTTCTTTGTGTTTCAACTGCTCGTTATTCATTATAGTCAGCTACTCGTTGCTTCATTCAATTTAATTACCAATGAAATCATTTCACGAGAAGACCCTGTCGAACGAGATCGTTCTCGGACATCACGCGTATTATATATATTCTCGTTTCTCGAAATAACCTTCAGTTATTTTACACATGTGCGCGCGCTAAACTCGATGAAAATTAATATCTCCGGTTTTTCTCGTTTGAATAGATCTCGACGGACGAATGACGTGCATTCTCTAACAGCTAGCTCGATAATTGATCTATCAAATACACCTAAATCTATCGAAAAGTAGAATCGAGCCAGATGTTCCCCTGCAATTGTCGCTTAAACGAGAATGCAATAACTTGGTCGCGAGGAGACGCGGGGAACAGTCCGAGAGGAAGATTAATATCGATTCAACGAGTCGAAGCTGAGAGGGGAGGGTGATCGTCGTCGAACAACTGAAGGACATCAAAGTATATCGGCAAGGGTTTTCGCCCTAAGGATATTACGAGGAAGAGGCAAAAGAGCAGAAAAGTTGAAATAATTCCGCGCCGGGGAAATATGGTACAATCTTCTTTGTTTAACGGAATACCGTAGCGACCGACCAAATACTGGAATGATCAAAGAGATCAACCCGAGGCACCGTCGGATCTTTTAAGAATTTATATTGTCTCATTTCGAGTGTTTATTTTTAATTACGTCCGTATAAAAAGGGGTTTCAGCGGGACCGCGAAATTCTTGATTCTTTTAATATTTTAAATCCGATGGGTTCTCCACTTGAGAAAAGAAAGAGAGAAAAATAAAAGAGTAGAAAGACATTTTATATGGAAGTATCTATTGCCTTCGAATATAATTATCGAACGATTTATTTAATACATCTTTTATGTTTTGCTTTTATTCAGCCGTCTGTTCAAATAGATTCGTTTGTCACTGTGTTAAATCGCATGATCTGCTTCATTGAAATTTAAATAACAAGCATAGTTTATCTCAACCAATAATTGATATTTCATCAAACTTTTAGAATGTATGGTTAGAGATACATATCTCGATCGCTCTAATATGTATAGTCTTTGCTAGGATAAATTTTCATCAATCTTCAATTATTTATTTATTTATCTTGATCAATATTAGGCATGTATCAGCATCCTAATAAATATCTTTCTGGAGTGAAGTATTTGGATAAATATTCCTATTTGACAGGAGTTACACACGTACAATTCAATACTGTATATGGCTGAAATAAAAGCAGAGACCAAAATCGGATTAAGCATGTGCCATTTGAAATATATCTTATATATTTATATACGTGTCCAAAAGAATTCACGGACGAGTACTGTAAACTGTATTGCATACGTTTTCTTATTTATTTCACGTTGCTGCCATTTGTCTTAACCTAACCTTCCGTTTTTCACTCTCGCCCCGTATCTCGGCTTTCATCAGACTGAATTGTATCATTGTCTTTGCTTCAAGAGAGATCGAATCATCCCCTTTTTCGTGTCCCGCCCTCGCTTCGCATCCCACGTCTATCGATTGTTCAAACGTCTATTTTTACTTGTAACGTGAGTCGAGCCCACTCACGAGTCACTTGTACCCTAAACCCTCTGTCGATTATATCATTCCCAGCACACGTTTTCTTTTTTTAACATTCCCGCGCCAAATTTTAATTGTCACCGGCCCAGTCCAAATTGATATCTCCTTGCTGGAAAGGAGGAGGAGGGGGAAAGGGATCTCGAAGGAATGCAGGATCATCAAACGTGGAATGTTCAGACTTTGATTCAACTGGCAGAAGCGCAGAGTGTGCCGCAACAAAGGTGCGTTACGAGAGAAACAAGAAGAAAAATAATGGAAAAGACGTACACTTTGTGAAAAACGGCAGATAAGGCAAAGACTTGGCAATGGCGAAGGGGTCCCTGGTGTCAGTCTTTCCTCACGCTGCGATGCCTCTTCTGTTTTTATTAAAAGCTTTACCCTCTGTCTCTCTTTCTCCACCATCATTCATCGTTCCTCTCTTCGTCGTATAATATTACTCGTTCTTTTGAAAGTGAAAAGCAGGACGGATGTCGTCTAAGAGACTCAATTCTTTGGCGACTTTCGTGCGACTTTCAAAGCGAACAGAACGTGAATTATTTCGATGAATAATCATCATCTCCGTGGTATACACCGGTGCTCTACGCCAGTTTCTCGTCTTTAAAGAATCGATTTACCATCGTTATCCTCTCTCTTTTCTCTCTCTCTCTCTCTCTCTCTTTCAAAAAGGGGAAGAAAGAAGACGCAGATCCCACGATCAGGCTTTGAGCCATTCTTCATTGAAGACGCCGCTGCGTCTGCGAACCTTACACGTGACTGCTCTCTCGTTAGGAACAAGCTACTGGTCTGGTTTTTCGTTCGCAGAAACCTCCCCCGGTTTCTGTGTCGCGTGCGCGAAAACAGTTAACGATATTCAAACAAACCTCTGCCTCGAGAATGCTTAGGTCTCAAAACTGGATGAGACGTGGATGAATGTTTTGATATCAATCTTCGACCACGTGATCAGAATTTCCAGCGGATCGCGTGCTGAGAGAAAGCGGTTCTCGATGGTTCCAACGTACGTTTTCTTCGAATCCAAGTGGATCGTATAAATTTCAGAATCTTCTATTTAACAATAGATTGACTACGAATTTTATCAATAGACGGAGGACTTTTATATTTTTGTCAGAGTGCGGTTAAAAAAAAAAAAGGAAAGAAAAATGAAACCGAAGCAGAGATTACTTTACAATTGCATTATATTATATAACTGTATTTTACGTGCATTCTGTGCATTTTTAAATGCATTTCCGGCGTTAAAACAACCCACTGCCACCAACGAAAATAGCTTGGCTTAGAATATTCGATAATTATCACCGAACGTACGCGGAACACCCAATAACGAAAGCAACAGAAATTTCACGCAAATTTCTCCGCGAAATTCCTACCATTCCGCTCGATTAATTTCAACCCTCTCGCCGGATATTCTAACGAGAGAAAGAAGAACTACGACAGACACATACACACATATCCATTCACTTTTATATCTTCTCGATCGACCGATTTTATTTTCGCCAGGCGATTCTAAATCTAACGGGTCCGATCCCGCGACACGCCTCTCTGATGTTACTTTCGCCGCGCCGAGCGTATTACGTAAAACCGGTAAACGGAATTACCCCGCGTTGACAAATGCAAATGGGATGAAATTATCCTCTCGCGTTCGCCGGCGAAGTCCATCGAATGTTAATCGCATAATCTAATATTTACCCTCGCCTGTACGACGCAGCGTGCACAGCACTTTTTTCCTCACCCCTTCTTCCTCTGCATCGTGCGCGCTGCCTTTGATTCCATCGCGCGCATGTTCTACCTCTCTCTCTCTCTCTCTCTCTCTCT